GGGGGGGGGGGGCGTGAGCATATATAACTATCTACACACACACACACTTGCTCACCACCCCCTCCCCCCCTCCACCACCCTCCCACATGAACTCTCGACGATTCCGAATGTGTATGAATACTTTCTGGTTACTTTCTGGTTTGTTAATAGAGCAAACTTAAACACGAGGTGAACAAACAGCGACATATTCAACAAATACTGATACTGATCCGATATTAGCTTCGTATTAACGCCAACAGAAGCACTAACACATGTATCGTAGTTACAAAAATGAAAATTAGATTAAATAGCAGGTAGTGGCAATTCATACATATGCGGGACAGCGACTACTCGATGAGCAGCATGTAAATATGAGGCAAAACACTGTGAAATATGCAACGAATGTACATTCAGAATTAGCTCCATACTCACTCTAGCAGAAGCAATAACACCTGCCCTGTAATTACTACGAGTGCTCCAATATTCGATAGCAGGATGGCGGTACGTCATAGGACCTCAGAGGAGGCAAAACGGCAAGCAATGTAGCTTCGAAGCTGAAAAACCTGCTTTTCAGTATTGTGGTATGACGCATCTTCACTGTAGATAACAGTAACGGACACGGAATTTGACGGTATTCGCAGGTGCGGCTTCCATCCACGACAATACAGGAACACACATGAGCAATTGCATGGCCGAGGTTCGTCCCGTGGGTGGAGGGGGGATACCGTATAGTTACTTACATATGTTTATAGGAATATAAGCACAACTATCTATCTATCTATCTATCTATCTATCTATCTATATATATATAATATATATATATATATACATACATACATTTGTTTCTTTATGAATTTACATTGATGTGTGTGTGTGTGTATCCGCGTATATGTATTCATGTAATACACACATACATACAGATTATTTATACCCACTCTGCCATTCTGCGATGCAAGCTGCCTTCGCAGCTGGTCGCTCTCCAAAGCAAATCACGGCCAGGAGATGGGCTCGTGAGGAGAGCGGATGACACCTAAGCACGCACCGGTTCCGATCCACAGCCAACCCTTCAAGACCTCGGCACAAGTCCGGACTGCATGCCTCGCCAAGTCGCAATGTGGCTTGGGAGCATGCTGCTTCCAAAAGTCCTGACAGGTCATCGCCCTACAAGGCTCTCCTTCTTCCTCTACCTGGCCATCCGCACACCCCTCCAATTCTTAACAACCGAAGAACCAGACCCTAAACCTTTCTTCACCCAGAACCCCTAAAACGCTAAATCCTAAACCTCAAAAGAATCCCAAGAGAATCGACCCTAAAAAAGGCCAGAGCCGGTGCGTTGAGGAGATCTCCTCCGAGAGTTTTGGCGCATGGAGCTTCAGGAGCTCAGGGGAGGGCGCCCAGTCTTCGAAGGCCGGCAAGGCAACCTCTCACTCAGAAGACTCTGCTGCCTTTTTTGGAATGGAAACCACAAGTCTATAGACTTTTTTGAAAAAAAAACACTGCATGCAGCAATTTTCGCATCTCGTTTTCTTAGCTTAGGTTTTCGCCTGGCGAGGACCAAATCAGGGGAAAGGGCTCAGGCCAGTTCAGTCTGCAGAGCATGTCCCAGGAGCCTGCAAAGGCTGGGCGCTGCAGTAAGGCCTCATCGCAGGCCCAAGTGTAACACGATCGAAGCCGCTGGTCGAATCCGCTGCCCTGCTCCTCCCTGCCTCGCCCCAGGCTTGGCGAGATACTGTTGGTGGTAATCCTCCGCTCACGCAGTGATTCTGTCAATTGTCTCTGTTGAAAACGAAGCCAACATGCGAGAAAGTCCTCTGCGTAGTAAAACGGCTGGTCGAAGTCGGCTGCGGCCACGATCTCTGTCGTAATGCTCGCTGTCTTGCCTCAGAACCAACGACGTCGACATAAAGTAGCAAGGCTCACGGAACAGCCTCTCCGAGCTTCTCGAAGCGACTTCTCGTAAGCTGCTTTGCCTTGGCCATGGAAGCGTGCGCAACATCCAGTCTACTCTGTACTTCCTCTCTCTCCTGGGCCCTCTCAGTACAGCCCCAAAGCCTGCTTCAGTTCCACGTTCTACGAGCAAAGGAGGAACCGACTGGAGCCCTGCTTGGAATCCAATTTTGCGACGTGGATGGAAACCGAACCGGACGACTGGCGTTCTGACAGGACGCTTGCACGCATGAGCTGCTCTTGCTCGCTGTCAAAATAGATAAGGGCACTTCCTGGGGCGGAGCCATTGCAGCAGGCTAACAGCAGAGGAGAGGATCAGGATAACATGAAGACTGCCATAGCGTAGACCGGCAGAGGGCTCAACCAGATCCGAAAGGCAGAGGGAAAATCACCATCATCATCACCACCATACGTTTTCAGCATGGGCATCCTCATCCTCTGCGCCGTGGAATGATGATGATGGTGATGATGATGATGATGCCACTGCTGGTGGTGATGATGATACGGTTGATACCGGCGGTAATGATAACAAAGCGATGATGCTGTGGCGGTAGTGGCGGTGGCGGCAGTGGCGTGTTGGTGCTGGTGGTGATGATGCTGACCGCCCTCGGGACCATCATCCCTCGATGGCACCGGAGAGCGGCGGTGAGGTCGATCACGGCAACGACAGCAACAAGGGAAGGAAGCGGAACAAAAGAACGCGTCTTCTGCGACGATCTGGTGTGCAGCTTGGAATCTGTACTGCGTGCCGTGGTCGTTCCCTTGCGCATTGCCCTGGGTCGGATCGTGGGATTCCCAGAACCACCGCAAAATGTCCACCAAGCTGATCTTTTCTGGATCATAGACCTTAGGGAAACAGCATTGAAAGCAGAAGAGTTGAAGCAGCCTTACAAGAGCCTAAAAAGTTAAAATAAAGTTTTGGGTATGTTATGGCATAGTCCTCTTGGTACCCAACGCTACTACAAGGGATATTATCACGAATGACCCTGAACCCTGCAAAACCTTTTTGGGCATTGCAAAACCTAACCATCGAAAATCCCTAGAAAGCATTGTTAAACCTTGAACCACCCGTATGAACCCTGAACGGCAGTAGCAGACAACACCCTTCCAATGATAAGTATGTAGGTAGTTCTCTAAATTAGGGTCCCTTTTGGGGTCCTTTTTATAAGGGTGCCGTACTATATTGAGGACCTAAAAAGGGACCCTGATTTAGAGAACTACCCATGTCGCAAATTGCTCCATAGTACACCAGGAGACGACCTGCACCGCCTCCGTGTGTCCTGTTCGTCCGCTGCAGCACTCCTGGAACAAGGGAAGCGTTCTAGTCATCTGGCATCACATCAAGTGCATTCGGGCCCGGAAATATTCGGGGTGTAGGGTGTCGGATGCGTCTAAGAGTACACAGCCAAAACAAACCACGTGAACTGTGATCGATCTGGCTTTGTCTTGCCATCCACAACGATGCACCGCCTGTGATGAAGCCATTGACACTCTGTTTTCCGGCGTTTGGGCTGCTAATCCTGTTGTAGTTTCTGATGCTAGAACACATCCCGGTAACACGTGGCAACATGCCACCATCGAGCCACTCCGCTGCGTTTCTGAAGCGCGGCTTATTTACGAAGTCACTCCATGTCGATGGTGCCTTCTTATGAGGACCACCTGCAGCACCTGCGACAGGCCGCGATCTTCCTCCGTGTTTTCGTCACGGCTTGAGTGGAGTTCCTCGACATATCCGGTGACTTGCCTGTAATGGTGGAGGCTTGTGGCTCTGTGACCTTTACCTCCTCGATCTAAACAGCGGCACGAGAGATGCAGTTACAATCCCGGAAACATGCTTCTCAATCCTGTCACTGCATATGCTCCTCGTAGGTTGGGTTGGCCGTCTGCCCAGCTGCATAGCCCACAGCAGTGGCATAGATGCCGCCACCTGTGTCTGCACGGTATTGGACATCGACGTGGCCACTTGACATGACTATCTAATTACGTGCATATCGACTCCCTTCCTTGCTCGCTCACCTTCACGTTCCGCCTGCTTCTTCTGCATCAACTACGGACCGGACAGAATGCATCAAAACGAAGTAAGCAAGTACATACACGTAGTTATTTGCCCAAATATGTACGCGCACAGATACTTGTGTTGCTTCACATCTCCGAAGAGGTCCGAGCCTGGTAGGCGCCAAAAGCCTTTCTCTGAGCCCCAAAAGCATCCGTTCGCCAGGACACACACCTGCAGGAGTGATACCAGTGGTCCCTATCCGTACGTGTGCAAGCACTCAATACTTGATAAATTGGGTACCTAGGTTTGGGGCACTGAGAGGTGGTGTTTGCGGAATACATGATCGTGGGCTGGCTTTGGGGTGTTGGCGCCAGCGTAAGCCGTCGAAAGAGGCAGGTCGCCTTCATGTTATCCGGCCAGGGCCCCTCCATGGGTGTCTTCCTCGGCATAGAGACCCTTCTTTGCATCCGGGCTTGGGACGTCGGCCGGGGAAGGTGGCAGGCAGCAACAGAATCACGCCAAGCTGCAGCACTACTGGCTACAGTTCCTGCTCTATGCCCTAAACCCAAGCCAATAGTGCAAAGGTTGCTTATGACATATGGCGTGCTGGAGAGGCACAAAACGAAATGCTTCGGGCTCACCTTCATCTTGTCACTCCGCCCCTTCCTCGGCAACATGCCAGCAGGCCATGTTCATCTGGCATGTGCAAGTGTGTATATGCATCGGTCTGTATGTACATGTATTTGCATGTGAATATGATGCGGTACACTTATGCGGATACAGACATGCATTTACAGAAGTACACAGTATGTATTTATATAAGTGCAAATACATATAATTAACATAAATAATATATATATATATACATACATATTACATACATACATACATACATACATACATACATACATACATGCATGCATGCATGCATAATTACATACATACATA